TAATATCATTATCAATATCAATAATTATTTATTTGTTTGGTTAAATCTGATGTGCAGTCATCGCCCTCTTCTCTATGGCTCTCTTTATCACCCTTTCTCACACTCCCCCTTCGCCTTCTCCTTTCTTCTCCTCCTCCTCTTTATCACCCTTTCTCGCACTCCCTTTCTTCTCCTTTCTCTCCTCTCCTCCTTTCTTTGCCTTCTCCTTTCTCCTCCTCCTCCTCTTTATCACCCTTTCTCACACTCCCGCCTTCTCCTTTCTCCTCCTCCTCCTCTTTATCACCCTTTCTCACACTCCCCTTTCGCCTTCTCCTTTCTCCTCCTCCTCCTCTTTATCTTCCTCCCCTTATTCTCCTCCTCCTCCTCCTCTCTTTCATCTTCCCTTTCATCCTTATCCACTTATTATCCTTTCCTTATCCTCTTATCCTCCCGATCTCTCTCTCTCCTTCCCCAATCCCCCCTCCTGCCCTTCCCTCTTCTCCTCTCCCTCCCTCCTTCCCCTCTCCCCTCCTGTTCCTCTCCCCGTGCTGTTCCTCTCCCCTCCTACCCCTCCCTCCCCCCCCCTCCTCTCTTTCCTTCCCATCTCTCTACTTCCCCTCCCCCCTCCTGCCCTCTCTTTCCTTCCCTCTCCCCCCTCCTACCCCTGTCCCTCTCTCCTCTCCTGCCCCTCTGCTTCCTCCTCCCTCCTGTCCCTCTCCCTCTCCCCCCCCCTACTCCTCTCTTTCTTTCCCCCATCTCTCTCTTCCCCCCCCCCCTTTCCTTATCCCTCTTATCCCCTCTCTCTCTCCCTTCCCTCCCCCTCCTGCCCCTTCCTCTTTCTCCCTCCCTCCCTCCTTCCCCTCTCCCCCTCCTCTCCCCTGCTTTCCTCTCCCCTCCTACCCTCTCCCTCCCCCCCCCTCTCCTCTCTTTCCTTCCTCTCTCTACTTCCCTCCCCTGCCCTCTCTTTCCTTCCCTCTCCCCTCCTACCCGTCTCTCCCTCCTGACTCTCTCTTTCCTTCCATCTCTCTACTGCCCCTCTCTTTCCTTCCCCTCTCCCCCCCTACCCCTGGGCTGACCCTCTAGTGAAATGTGGTTAGTGACTGAGTGAGTACCAGCAGTGATACTGATGAGAGATTGGATTACAGGATAGATACATAATGGGAGTTTCGTAAGCGAGGGGAAACGAGGGGGAAAGGGTGAGGGGAAGGGAAGGGGGTGGAGGGAGGAGGGAGGGTGGGGGAGGAGGAAGAGGGAGGGAGGGTGGATGGAGGGAGGAGGAGGATGGAGGGAGGAGGGAGGGTGGAGGAGGAGGTGAGGGAAGAGGAGGAGGAGGAAAGAAAGGATGAGAAGAGATGATGGAGACAAAGAAGGGAAAAGAAGGAACAAAATGAGAAAGAAACAAAAGGAGATAAGATATGAAGAGATAAACATGGAAGGAGACGACTGGAGATAAATGAAGAATTTCGAACAATAGAAAGAAGATGAAAGAGAAATGATGGAACGAAAGGAAGAAGAGGAAGAGAATGTAAAGATAAAGGGAAAAGTACACACCAATAATACAAAAAGAAAAGGAAAAATAAGAGAGAAATAAGAGATAGAAAGGGAAAAGAGAGAGAAAATAAAAGAAAGAAATGAAAAAGGGAGAGAAAATAGTAAGAGAAGTAAAGACAAAAATCAAGAAAAGAGGAATAAGAAAATGTGAGAATAAAAGGAAGAGACGACGAAGAAGAAAAAGAAAGAGAAATAAGGGAATAAAGAAAAGGAAGAACGAAAAATAGACAGAAGGAAAAGAAACAGCAGGTGAAGGAGGAAAATATCAATCTAAAAATTCTTACAAAGATAAAGATGATTATGATAAAATTAATGACAATAGCAATAATAGCAATAATGGTAATAACAGTAATAAAAAATAACAATGATGATAATGAGAATGATCATGATAGTCATAACGATAATGATAATAACACTATTAACGATAATGATAAGGATAATTAAGGTGATAATAGTAATTATGATAAAAAAAATGATGACGATAGGAAAGAGAAGAAAAAGAAGAAGAAAATAGGAAAAAGAAAAATAGGAAGAAGAAGAGAAAAAGAGAAAATAGAAGAGAAAAAAAGGAGAAACAAAAGAAGCAATGAAAAATAGAGAATCCAATCCTAAGACAAAGAAAACGGGACGAAGAGACAAAACAAAAAAACAAAACAAAAGAAACAAAAGAAAGAAAGAAAGAAAACAGACCAAGAAAATAGAAAAAAGAAGGAAAACAAAAGAAGAAAGAAAGAAAACAGACCAAGAAAATAGAAAAAAAACAAGGAAAACAAAAGAAATAAAGAAAGAAAGAAAGAAATAGACCAAGAAAATATAAAAAAGAAGGAAAACAAAGGAAACAAACAAAAAGAAAGAAAGAAGAAATAGAAAAAAAGAGGAAACAAAGAAACAAAAGAAAGAAAGAAACAAACCAAGAAAATAGAGAAAAAGGGGGAAATAGGAGAGACACAGAAACCAGCGGATTAGGGAGCCAGCCTACATCCAAAGGGGATTAGCGAATCATCCTACACGCCCGGGAACAGAAGACTAACGCGCCAAGATCACATTTAGATTAGTGATTATTTCCATATCTACCGGAACGTGTGAGTGTGTGTGTCTGTCTGTGTGTGCGTAATGCGCGTTGGATGAGCGTGGGAGTGTGATGGGGGTGAGTACAGTGCGGTGTGGTGAGGGAGTGGGGTTTTGGGGGGTTTGTGGGGGTGGGGTAGGGGTAGGGGGTGGGGGGTTAGTGCGGTTGTGGTGAGTGAGTGGTTTTGGGGGGGTTTTGTGGGTGGGGGTGTGGGGGGGGTTACAGTGCGGTTGTGGTGAGTGAGTTGTGGTTTTGGGGGTAGGGGTGGGGGGGCGTGAGGGATTTCAGTGCGGTTGTGGTGATTTTGTGGCGTTTTTGGGGTGGGGTGGGGGTGGGGTGAGGGATTTCAGTGCGGTTGTGGTGACTGAGTGTGTGAGTGAGAGTGGTGTGGTGTTGGGGGTGGGGGGGGAGGGATTACAAGTGCGGTTGTGGTGACTGAGTGGTGCTTTTGTGGTGGTTTGGGGATGGGGGGGATGGAGGAAGGGGAGGGTGTGATGGTGTTTTGTTGTTGTTGGGTTTGTTGGTGTTGATTCTGTTTGT